GCGCACACTCGACCCCTCCCCCGTTCAGGGAGTAGGGAGTAGATGACAGATATCATGAAGCAGATTAGGGATACCTAGGACCTAGACCCTTGAATGTAGTACCAAATTTCGGATGACTTTTATGCAGAGGATCCTACCTACCTATTAGCCAGAAACTAATTGAGGCAACCTCAAAAAAGGTGCTACATTTAAGGGTTTAGGTACCCATAGGCGCTAAAGTAATTCCTTTTTGGGGTTCATATATAGAACCCTATAAGGTAACCCCAAAAAGAACTACTATGGGGTCTATGGGTAGCCTGAAGGGTTAAGGGCTGGTTGGGAGACTGGATGGCGGAGGTTCTGTGTGCGCGGGGATAGCCTGGTCCGAGCGTGCTAGCATGTTGAAGCGTTTAGGCCCATGTCAAAGCAGCTATCCCTTAAAATGTAGGGTTCCAATATGGCCTTGACCTATGAATCCCGATAACATGGTAGTCCCCGCCCTCTTGCACACGGCTTTATGCAGTGCTGAAATCGTTGCATGCTGAATTTAACTAGTACCAACTGGCCAATCGGATGAAGAAACAAAACAAAACCCCCACCCTCTAAACCCGATACCCCCCTAAACCCTATAAACCCTGAACCCTTCAAACCCTTCAAGCCCTGTAGACCCCATAAACCCTGAAAGCCCTAAAACCCTAAAGTGCTAGGACCCTAGGAGCCCTCCCTGTAACTCTCTTTACCTACAGTTTAGCAGAAATTACCCCTTAATCAGTAGGTAGAACCCAGAAAACTGTAGGTAATTAGAGTCCCAGGTCGACCGCATAAACCCTAAAAGCCCTAGAACCCTAAAGTGCTACGACCCTACACAAACCTCGCCTCCTCAAACATGGAGGAGAAGTTCTTCACCGCTCGCGTGTCCCAAGGCAGGCGCTGGTTGAAGGATGCTGCCCGGGAAAACATCCTTCCGCGCGGTTTAGGGTTTAGGGTTTAGGGTCCCGCACAACCCGAAACAAATTGCAAGACTGTTAGCGTTTGGAGTTTAATATAGGGGCCTTAATAATTGGAATAGGGTTTGGGGGCCCTTTATACTGTAATTATCATAAGGACCCCCCAAAATGGTATCGGTAATTATTTAGGCCCCTACATTACCCTAAATGCCTAAATTCTAACGGGTCCAGATTATGATTTAAGGCTTCTTCCTGTTTTGGAGATGGTTTCCCTCCTGTGATGTACTGCTAGCTTACCCTATAAGGGTCCGAAGGACCTAATAATCATGTACTTGAGTTACGGATAGTTTCGTAGGTTACCTATAGTCTCCATTGTAGTTCCTTTTTGGGGATACCTTATAAAATCCTTAATATATATTTGGTTAAACCAAAAAAAGGAACTACAATGGAGACTATAGGTAGAATTCAGAAGAGTATATGATTATTAGGTACTTGGACCCATAGGGTTACGGAACGGCGAAAGAAGGGGCCCCAAAAACCCTGGCCGGGGGTTCCATGGAAAAGGAACTGAACCCTAAATTAACGGAAACTACAGGTGGGGAGTTTAGGGTATATTTATAGGGCTTCTATAAGGTATATAGACCTTCTATAAGGCTCCTATAACGGTAACTACCCACCTGAACCTAAGCCCTGAACTCTAATCCCCAACAAACCTCAAAACGGACTGACACCTAAAGCGATTCAGCCGCCCTTCTGCAGATCACAGTGAAGACCCAAACTTTGACAGCGAAGTTTTTTCTACTATCTGCAGCAAGTTGGTTCAAACAGCGGCCTCAGAAATTCAGTACGACTGTTCCGGGCTAAACACAGGAGCCTTAGCAACTAGAAGGGGCATTGCGGTACATTATGGTACCACATGAAGGCACCCTAAGACCCTCAGGCATTGTCTTGTTCATTCTTCCGGCACCTGTATTTCATGTGTTTTCGTCTGGGACTGCATAAACAACCATGGAGCAGAGACTGGGCTCCTTTATATATTTATAATAAGGAACCCCCAAAAAATAGTATAGGTAGTTCTACAGGCCCCTACGTTTTAGGTGTGTCTAAACCAGGAGAACGGAGCCACGGGCCAAAGGTGTGGATCGGGCTCTTCTCGGGCTGGCTTCTTTACTAATGCCCCCAGCAAAACCTCCCAACATGCGCACAAATTGCTCAGGGTTTAGGGTTTAAGGGTTTAAGGAGCCCCACATGCACTCCTCAAAACGCTGGTAAGTAATGAGGCCCTCTGATAAAGCAGCACAGTTTGAGTTCCTGCTGAGATCTACCACCGCCGAAACGCACCAGGATCCGATTGCTTGGTTGAATGTCGAGGCATCGAGAAACCTCGGATGGGACTACGTCTTGACTATCGTCCCCTGCAAGCCCCGATCGATGCACCAACATAGCCTTTGACCTCAAGCTACCCTAAACCCTCAAAGGCCCTAAACATAAACCCTAGCTCTTTCCCTAAACCCTTACCCTAAACCCTGAACCCTAAGTCTAACCCTGCACCGCAAAAGCTAAGGGTACGTAGGGTGTGGTTTCTGAGGCGAGGGCTTCGGGTACCCCCCCAGTTTATTTACAGAGGCGGAAACGGAGGTTCAGGTTTAGGGTTTAGGGTTTAGGGTTTAGGGGGTACAGGTTTTAGGGTTGAAAGCTTAGTGCTCAGGAGGGTCTAGCTTTCAGGGTTTTGGGCTTAGTGTGCAGGGCTTTGTGTTCAGGGCTCTAGGGTTAGAGCTTATCGGGCTTGGGGGTTTAGGGTTTAAATTTTAAGGTTCGGGGTTTCGAAAGCAATACTGGGTCGAACCTGGGAGTTGACCCCTGACAAAACAACCCCAAATCCCATCAATCCCTAAACCTAATATAGAAGACTCAATAATTAACCTATAATATTCTTTAGAGTTCCTGATTGAAACTAGTATATATGATAAAGGAGCCAAAATCCTTATTCTAATTATCAAGGACCCTAAACCTAGACCCGAGAATGTCGCACCTTTCTTGGATAGCTCTATGTGGGGGGTTGACATCCTTAACGTGAATAACGTAAGGTCACTAATCGGTTAAAATGTACTATGTTTTCAGAGTATGCAAACCCTCAACCCAAAAGCGGAAGCCCTGCCGCAAGATCATTCTCGATTCTAGAAAGCGAACATCCTTCGTTGCTTTCGGGTATGTTCTGCACGGGGTGCGAAGCCCTTGATCCAGGAACATACCTTAAGTTGCACTAGGTCTTGGGTAGACGAAGTGTAGTGGAACACGGCCCCTAAACCCTAGACCCAAAGCCCTAAACCCTTAAACCCTAAACCCCCCAAACCCTAAACCCTAAAATCCTAAACCATTCAACCCAAACCCCTAAACCCTAAACCTTAAACAAAACCCACGCGGTGCTACGTTGCACTAAGGACCCTAAGAAAAAATACTTGAAAGCTCCTGAAGCAGGGGCCTCTCGGTGCCCAACACCCGAATGTAGGGGCCTTTATAGTTTGAATAGGATTTAGGGTTTAGGGTTTAGGGCTTTGGGGTAGTTAGAATAGGGTTTTGGGCTCCTTTGTACTACAATTCTGACATAAGGACCCCCCCAAAAAAAAACAAAAACAAATTGGTAATCATTTGAGGGGTTTAGGGTTTGGGGTTTAGGATTTAGCGTTTAGTTTAGGGGTTTGGGGACTTGGGGGTTTAGGGTTTAGGATTTAGAGTTTAGTTTAGGGGTTTGGGGGTTTAGGGTTTAGAACTTATAGTTTAGTTTAGGGGTTTTGGGGTCTAGGGTTTGGCGGTTTTTGAGTTTAGGGTTTAGGGTTCGAAAAACCCACTGCTGGTGTTTTACCTTATAAGTATGGAGTCATAACCTACAAGTTCGTAGCTGGGCCTTGGGGCTACCGGCAGAGCTTGACTCTGCAGACTTGCGAGTCTAGGTCTAGGTTCTTGCTGCAGGGGCCTCATGATTTGAATAGGGTGTTGGGTTTGTTTTACTACTGAACCGTGAACCCTAAACCCTAAACCCCAAAATCCCTAAACCCCTAAACCCCTAAACCCTTAAACCCTAAACCCTAAAAACCCTATTACTGTTTATACTTCCATAAAGGAATCCTGGCTTGGGCCCCATATCCTCAACAAGAGCAGGGCACATACTGCCCATGCTCGTGACGCGCGAGGTGTCCCAGTTACCGATCCGCTGGTTGAAGGCCATGGCGCCCTGGAACATGCCTCAGCTGTAAAAGTTGGGCCCTAAACCCTAAACCCTGTGGGCCCTTAAAGTGCAACTAAAGCCTATAAGCCCTAGACTATGGTAGCTATTCGGCTTCAGGGCTTGCAAAATAGGGCATATCTAGACACATACATGCAGCATTTTTCACTAATTGTTTTTGATCCGGTTTCCAAGCTTTTGACGTTTACTATAAGCCCTAAAAACCGCATAAAGAGATCTGTGCTTCGGTGATTTTGTTGCTTGACACTTTCAGGGGTGGAGGCTCTAGCGGGACCTCTAAAGACTTCACTTCCAACTTCAAACAGCGCAAAACTGTAGCATCTCCACTGTGGCTTCGCCTTCATAGCAACATAACCATTTAGAGTTTAGACCCTAAACCCTAAACCCTAAACCCTAAACCCTAAACCCAGGATTTGGGGAAATGGAATAGTTACGAATTCAGTTGAATTCGAGATCCAGTGGCCCCTGTCCTGGAGCCCTAAAGGCTAAGTGCTCGGGGAACCCCGGGTTGACACTGCATATTCAGGGTTTAGGGTTTAGGGTTTAGGGTTTAGGGTTTAGGGTTTAGGGGTGTGGATAGACTGTCTGGTGCTTTGTAGGGAATGGGGGAATGGGTTACAGGGACTACTACAAGGGACTACTATAAGGGACTATCATAGGCATCCGTTCCCCCAGTCCCTACTAAGCACCAGACAGTAGATGTCCCTACGACTCTTGGTATTCAGCTCATATCTACCCATAGGCCCCACAGTAGTTCCTTTTCGGTGCTACCTTATAGGATTCTATATATGAACCCCAAAAGGAACTACTTTAGGGCCTATGGGTAGATTAGGGTCTATAGCTTATCAAAGTGCCAGCATTGCGTGATCTGGAGAGCTTCAGGTCGCCGCTGATATGCTTCACACCACTCTCGCGTAGTCGTATTCCCTCATAGTCACCTAACCCGAAGCTCTAAGCCCTAAAGTCGTAGCCCCTACAATGGTGCGACTTCAAAGCATCATATGCCCCGAAATCTTATCTTATATTCAGGCCACGATATGCCCCTTCAGGTTCGGGCTGGCCGGCGCATTCTGAGGTCCATCCTGTTCTCTTTCTTGTACGTAGTTTAAGCGGCTGAAAGGATAAAACGGTGAGGGAATAAGTTTCAGGATAGCAGACTATATGGGGGTTTCCGAAAATAGGGGACCCTAATATAGTACCCTAAATAGTAGGATCCTTATTTTAAGGACCCCCAAATAAGGTACCCCTAATTTTCGGAAACTCCCATATGATCAGANNAGAAACCCGAAACTCCAAACCCTATTCGGGGGGGTGAGCCCGAAAGCCTGAGGACTACAGGGCAGAAGGCTCAAGTTCGATGGCTTCGTAGCCTTGAAACGGCATGTGTGTGTAGATTTGGTTAGGGTTTAGGGTTTAG